TCGTCGTGCACAGGGATCAGCTTACGGCTTACATTGACTGGCGGGACTTCCAGCTTAAGGATCTGAGGACTGAGATTAGGTTACAGCTTTGTGTACAGGAGCTGGCACCATATGTATCGCAGACGGCGAATTCTTGGCTATAGATGGCTCCACTGGAAAATAAGGAAAAGTGGCCTGAAAGGCATACGACAACAACACCAACAAAGTTATTTTAAATCACTTTTATTTCTTCTCATTCATTTGCATGAACTCAGGCTGAGTTCGTCTTATCTCTACTTTACACCAGTTTTTAACCAAAATTGTTACTCCATATTTTATTATATGGGAATGTTTTAGGTTTTTAAAAGGTAGACTAGAATCTTAAATACCTAGAAAATTAGCTTAAAAACTGCAAAGAAAAAAAAATAGAATATTTTTCGTTTTTAATAAATTTTTCTTATACGGTTTAATGAAAAAAGTACCCAAAATTATCTCGCTATCTTACAATTCTTCCTATATTAAAGATTTCCAGTTCTGAAGAACCCTTTAGAAGAATTTTAGTGGGCAAAAAGGAAAAAAATTCTTTCATGAGCTTCTTCCTAGAGCTCTCGCAAATGATATTCTTTAGTTCTTCTCTCTTCTGATTTTAGCCAAAATTATGACAAAATATTTTCATTATAAAAGGGTGTCTGTCCGGGGGCAAGAAAAGGAGGACGAAATTTCTGAAATTTTAAGCGTAAGTTAAAAATAACTCAGTAAACGATTACTTGTAGTGATTTATTTTCCAAATTAAAGACCAAAATTCTCCGTAATTCTGTCTCCTTGCAACAACAAATCACGTTTTAGAACTTATAACCAATCAATCCCTTCTTAAGAAGTTTTCATATCAAAAATAATCCTATTTTTTTTCAAATCAAAGTCATGTTCCAAAAAGTATCGGAAATATATTTTATTTTATAACCTTCGTAGAACAGCAGACCCAATTTTGGGTTTACGACTACTTATGTTCTGCTCCGTAGCCTTGTAATTTTGAACGCACTTCAGAAGACAAGGGAACTCCTGGATCAGGTATTGGGATAATTTTGTCTTCGTGGAGACTTTTTGATGAAACTAACACTCATTTGCTTTACATGGAGTAAAAAACAACGAAAATCTTATACATGGTTAGCCTGGCGGCAAGGGGACTTTAACCCACAATCCGTTAAACGCTAAGAATATTTTTCGCCGGTACTGTGGTCAGTGTAAGGCGATGTAGAATTTGAAACAACCAGTTATTGCTGGGATTCGAACCCGATCACCTCATCGGAAGGCAAACGCTCTTTCCCCTGAGTCACAATGGCTCAGTATCGCAAATATATATATATTAACAAAATTGCCACCTTCAAGAACCCTCAGGGGTCCCGCTCTAGAGGTAGACCACCTACTCGATGGCTCAACGACACCGAAAACGACCTCAAAGTCCTAAAACTTAAGAACTGAAGGGGAGTTGCCATGGACAGAGGGAGCTGGAGAAGGCGTGCTGTTGCAGACCTGCAAAGGCCTGTTGCGCTCCTGAAGAAGAACAAAAAGGAAAGAAAAATGGACTTGGGGTGTTTCTAGAAAATAGTGGTTAAGGAGCAGGGCTGGCGAAAGTGGCGAGCATGGCGGGTGATCGCCGACGAGACCTAGATTTGAAGGTCTCTAAATTATTGATTCCCTTCTTTTTTAAAATGGGCTGATCGTTAAGACACGGTTCCCAGCAGATCACCGAAGTCAAGCATCACTGGCTGCGGTCAGTGTGCGGTTGGGTGACCACTTGGATTAGTCTGCGTAGGGACCAAGGGTGTGCGGTATAGGTTCTCGTTAAACTGTTCTACCGTAAAGTGCTCGACTTCGCGTGCAGGTCGTCGGGCTACNTATATATATATATATATATATATATATATATATATATATATATATATATATATATATATATATATATATATATATATATATATATATATATATATATATATATATATATATATATATATATATATATATATATATATATATATATATATATATATATATATATATATATATATATATATATATATATATATATATATATATATATATATATATATATATATATATATATATATATATATATATATATATATATATATATATATATATATATATATATATATATATATATATATATATATATATATATATATATATATATATATATATATATATATATATATATATATATGTATATATAGTTGCTTGGTTCTGCAACAACGAGCCTCGTCAAATTATTCCCAAACCGTTGATTACCCGTAACTTCTTTAAAACAATTATCACAAATTTGATACTATATAAGTCTAGAAATTATTATCATTATTTAATGAAAGTCTAATTTGAATAATTATGTTTGAGTAGGGGAGGTCTGTTTAACAAGAGGCTATTTAAAACCTACTTTTCTTGACCGGACGTGTCCTTGCATCGACGAGTTGGAATGTCGGGATCCAACGCCATCTGATACATCTGAGGTAAGGTTTTATGAATTTAAAACGTTTTCTGGTGATTTTATTGTCTTGGCTTATATGTTAGTTAGATACAATATATGTAATTGATGCAAGAATGGCGTAGAAATGAAAAAAAAACAACTTTTTCTTGAAAAAGAAGAGCTTAAAAATTCTTTACACTATACTTTTTTTGAAATTACTCCCAAAATTCAAAATTAAAAGGAGAAATTGGGTAGACTTATAGATATACAGTGCGCAAAAAAAAATGGACCAACCTGAATAACTTTGGATCTAATGATCGGATCTTCACGTTCTGGAACTCAATCTTAATGGCTAAAATATGCTAAATGATAAGCGCAGACGATATTCTCAGTTACGAAATTAGTCACAAAAACGTACGTTCTTTTTTTACATGTCTTTTTTTAGACGGATTCGGATTTCTGATCCCCCAAAGTAATCTTGAAACTATGGTCTTCATAGTTTGGTCGGGACAGCGGTTCAAAGTTTGGACCCCTTATTGGTAATTTTACATTTTACATATTTCGCTATGTTACGAGAACATTTTGAGCGAATTGAAAAACTTTTGCACATATTTATAAAATTTTATTATACAACGAACATTCCATGCAAAAAATAACTTTTAGTAAATCTTTATTAGTTTTATTATTATTTTATTTATCGTGGGTCGGAAAAATTGTGAATTTTAAGGAATATAATTTTGCATAGCAAAATACAAAATCTGAGAAAAAAAGGTTGATCAGTTTAAAGAAATTGAATTTCAAAAATATTAGATGTTCAAAATTCATTTTTCCAGAAACTATTCGACCGAAGACTCAAAATTTGTATTTTGCCAAGTAAACTTATAATCTTTAAAATAATGCAAAAAATGGTATACTTTATAATTCAAAATATTTTCATTTGAATAAATAATTAATAAGTAAAATTAAATATATTAAATAAATATATAATGTATAAAATATATTAAATTAAATATAAATAAAATATATTAAATTAAGTATATAATGTATAAAATAAATATAAATATTTAATGAATGTCATTTTTGCATGGAATTATTTTTGGATAGTAAAATTTTATAATTGTGTGAAAATTTTTTTTCAATTCGCTTAAAAAGCTCTCGAGATATAATGAAATATGCTAAAAGTAAAATTGGCATTAAAGGGTTCAAACATAGGAGCTCTCTTCTGACCAACCTATTGGAACCATATTTCCCATATTGTGGCTTCTCCCTATATTTTGGGGGTCAGAAAAATGTCCATTTTTGAGGGTCCATTTTAAATAAGGCATGTTTATTCAGGGAAAGTATGTTTTTGTGACTTAAAATATGTGTCTGCCCTTATTAATAGCAAATTTGAGATCACCCTTTCGAGCCATTAAGATTGAGTCCTAGAACGTGAAGATTCGATCATTAGATCAATAATTATTCTGGGTAGTCCGTTTTTTTGCACCTTACATTGATTATTAAGTAGAGTATTTTATTATTTTTTATTCAAAACAAAACTATATTGCTCGTTCAATTCAAAATTGCTGGTTGACATTTACGCAAATAAATTTACTATATTTTAAAGTATTTTAAAGCAATAATTAAATTTCTATGGATCTCAACGCGGATCACTTACATACATATTAATAGAAGTCGGCAAGTTCCCCTGTGTTCTATTTTATTTATGTGTTATTATTTTTAAATAATTTCCAACCGTTGCGGATGTGAAAAAGAAAGAAAATGCATTTTCATTGCACTGTTGAAAATTTTTCAGTAGAAGTGGTTAAATAGTGGTTCAATTTATTTCATTGCTATTTCTCCATATTCTATAAGAACCATAATAAAGATAATATTCAATCTGAGAAAGACGTTTTTTCATTGTTTTTTTTTTCCTAATACGGTTAAACTGCAAGAATTCTATCTGCGTCAATTTGGCTTACTTCATAAACCTGTTTTTTTTCCGAGTGCATATAGTACTTGTCTATCTCATGAGCGGATGAACAGGGATTTGAATCGCAGCTGTGATCCTACAATATGTATTCGATTCATTAAATACATAAAGAGTTTCCTGTGTTCTGCACTGTCCAATCGGTGATTTTGGAATATTAGATGTCCGTCTAATTTTTTTTTATGGTTTAGCAACTATGCTACTTGTAAATGGCTGCAAAACCACAATTGTATTCAAGGTTTCTTAACCGTTCTAGTTGCAAAGGGTTTCAACACCGTAAAGGTAAAAAAAAAATTCTTAACCATAAGCTTTATTGTAAACCGGATGAACACAATGCTGTCGGTTATTTTACTGTATTTTCAGAATGGAAAATTTTAGCAGTGTAGAGTAAAAGTCTGTGAATTATGAAAACAGTGTTAATTGTGTTTTTATGTTTGACAATACTGCTTAAGGAACTATTCTATGGAGAATGGAATAACTTACTTAATTGTAGGTTATGTAAAAAATATTTAAAGTTTTCGTTGCGGTTGTGAATTGCATGACCAATGGAATAATGACGCACACAAATGATTACAAAGCAGATTTTTTTAATTAATCAATTACTGAATGATACAGTACTAATATCAAAGGATAATGATATTAATTTTCTTTGTCTCTCATTCATCTTTTGTTGCTGTATTCCGTTTTTCATTTTAAACTGATGTTCGTTTATAAGTTTCTTTTTTTATTTGTCTCTTCTCCCCCTTTTTTGTAGGTATTCTGCATGCTTCATGAGTTTTCTTTACTCTCTATTCGTAGAATACATGATTTCTCTGTGCTATTCTTTCTTCTGAAAAAGAAATGAATGTATAAATTGAAGAAACCTATCACTAAAAATTCAAAAATAAATATTTAACAAATTGTAATTTTTTAAAACTGAGAAGATTCATTTTGTGCTAACTTAAGTGACTAACTTAAGTAGCTAACTTTTGCGCTAACTTACACAAAAGTTTCAATCTTTTTGTTTTTTTAAATAAATTTTTTAATTCATTTTAATTAAAAAGAGACAAGAAATCTGCTTTTAATATTACATTTGTTTTTAAAAATTTAAAAATACCATAAAATAACAAAATTATACACTTGTAATATACATGTTATACATGTTTTTACACATGTTATTAAACGTAATTTATCATGATGATGCGAGTGTGTCTTATAATAAACATCGCATCTGCAATTGAATATGTAAATTATTATTTTAATCAATGCCGAATTTTTAAAACATTCCTTACTGAGATACTATTTGATTTTATAGTTAACAAATTTCAGATAAGTAAGTTAGCAACTTTTCAGAAAAACTATAAAAAAGTAAAGTTTTTGTCAGAATTGTATCGGGATTCACGGGACAAAACGACATGAAAAAGTTCCTAGCTTAAAATATAATATTTATAATCGATTTCATAATATTAATTACCTTTTTTATTATGTCTCTATTTTCTAATTATGCGTATTTTAACTTAAATTATTCTTTTTGTTTACTTTATTTTCAGGAACAACTTTCTCTATTTCCACTTTGTCTCCCAAAGAAGAAATATTAATACATAAATTGTAAATTAATCTGCTGTTGACTATTCTATTGTCAAGATGTTTGTTTTAAATTGCATGTAATAAATTTATAACGATGTTAGCTAGCCTTAAAGGTGGAAAATATCATCACTTCTTGCTTGCATTTTTAAGTGAAAAATATTACTTAAAGTTATTCATGTCTGGGAAAATTGCATAACTGTTGCATATTTAGATTATGTTTTTAAAAGTTGTTCATTATTGTTTGATAGAAAAAACTTAATTGTAATTTTTAAACAAAATAGCATTTGATTTTATCTAGTTATGTAAAATTTAAATTATAATAAATATTGTATAGCTCTGATAAAACGTAAATATATCGTATAAAAATCAGAATGGCGTTAATGTAATCTTATTTTTAAAATTAAAACCCTCAACCACCTAATAAAAAAATAAATAAGCCACACTGCGCTTCTAAGCTTGCCCGCATGTCTAATGATGAGGAAACAAACTTTTCACAACTCCGGAAATGGAGCAGAGGTAATTTAGAAACTAAAACTGCGAAGACTCGGTTTAATGTAACGTTTATTTATCGTTCCTCAAACCTTCTCCGCAAAGCGTAACTGCATACTGTATATTAACTAAATAATCCCAAGAAACTGCAACTTTAAGATATTACTTGATAAAAAACTGACAAAGAAATTACTTGATATTACTATTAAATATTACATGATTATTATTTTTGCTTCAAAATTATACAAATGAAAATGGTTTGTTTCTACCTTTTATTTTACAATTTTACATTAGCAACTTTACGTTTTATAGATTTTAAATCATTTCTGTTTCTTCTCATTCATGTTTGGGAAGTCTTGAAAATGGGCATCTGTTTTTGAGAGCTTGAAAGCGCTTTAAACAGATGAATGTTTTTGAGTGCTTGTTATTTCCCATTTGTGTAAACTATAATTTATTCGACGCACTTGGAAAATATGGATAGCCACTTAATGTGCGAAATAGTGTGTTCCTCATTTCCATAAATATGTTTCCGAAAATCTTTATTCCCACTCGCGGTTTTTTTTTTCGAAACATCTGGCTGACCTTGTTTTATTAAATGCCACAGGAATATCAGTTCTTTGAGTGCTGAACAACACTACAAAATCCTGTACGAAACAGATATCAACACAATAAAGCTAAAATAATTTCCTTTTTTTTAGATTTTATAATTACATTTTAGGTAGTTTTACGTTATTAGATTAACAAAACATGTTTTTAATACATTTTTTCATTAAAATTAAGATTAATTGTATTCAGAATCATTTGTCATGATGCTGTTGCTCGAGGTCATCTGATAGTCAAATTTTATCTCAATAGCGTGATTTAACACATCGGCTGATACGTTTCCGGTCTGACATACTGATGGTTCCCTAAATGCAGAATTAGTATTTTGTTTAGCAAGTCGTAACCTTCAAATAAAAGGTGTCAAAATTTTATAACGATCTGCCGATTGATATTAATGTTACAGTGATTTTAATCGAACACCAATTTACATTATTGAAACAATGGATAGAAAAAGAATTTCGTGTTCTTATTAAACATTGTTATTTAATGGGAAAAAACACCGTAGAAACTAAAGCTTGGCTCGATAAGTGTTATCCGGGTTCTTCGCCAGGAAAATCGACCATTATTGACTGGTTTGCTGATTTTAAACGTGGTCGTACAAATGTTGAAGATGCGCCTCGCTCTGGACGCCCTAATGATGTGGTTAATCCGGAAAACATAATAAAAGTTCACAAAATTGTTATAGAAAACCGCAAAGTGAAGTTGCATGACTTACCTGACACTCTGAATATATCAAAAGAGCGTGTGGGCTTTATTTTGCACGAACATTTGTTTATGAGAAGGCTGTTTTCGAAGTGGGTGTTGCGTGTGCTAACAGTTGACCAAAAACAACAACGAATTGATGATTCCGAGAGCTGTTTGACGTTGTTTCGGCGTTGTTCGAGTTGCTTCCGCGCTCACCCTATTCACCAGATTTGGCTCCTAGTGACTTCTACTTGTTTGCAGACTTGAAAAAAATGCTCTCGGGTAAGAGATTCAGCACGAATGAGGAAGTGATTGCCGAAACAAACGCCTATTTTGAGGCCAAAGATGTTTCTTTTTTTAAGAAAGGTAAAGAGATGTTAGAGAGGCGATGGAGTGATTGTATATCTCTTAAAGAAGACTATACGAGACCTCGTATTGATGAATAAATTTGAATTTTACAAAAAAAGTTGTGTTTACTTCATTAGACCGGGAACTTATCAGCCGATGTGTTAAATCGGTGCTTATCTCTTTATACTGTGGTAAAATATATTTTTTCATAGTATCTGTATTAAAGCCTTCCATTATTGATACTTTTTTAATATATATCAAATATAGCTGATACCTATATTTGTACAGTTAGTATGCGTTAAAATTGCACCAATTACCATCTTACTAGGAGTGACTAGAACTAAATTTAATTAAGCATCAATAATATTATGATAGTTTTTTTTTCAGTATTTTTCGTTTGGCCGTGCAAGGAAATTTAATTATTTTTAATTTTTTAGCATTTTATTCATTATTATATTTTATTTAAATTTTAAGCGACAAGAAATAAATAAAATACAAAAAAAAATCAAAAGTTGATACGTTTTTGGTTGGTTTTTTTTTTATTTCTCATAAATAAACAAATAAATGTTACTTTTATATTGTTTTGCTGTTTAGTTCTTAGAATATGTAGCTTATTTCTGTTTTAATTTCAGTTCGTAAGAGTAATAATAGAAGTTCGTGGGAGTAATAATAAATGTTAAAGATTATTAACAAAATAAAAGGTAAAAGTTTGATTTAAATTTTTTATTTCTAGAGAACTTTAATCATACTTGAAAATTTGCCATTAAAGCATTCCATGGTCTTGAAAGTAAAATTACTTTAATCAAAATAAAAGTTAATTTAGAGCTTGAAATTATATTTGAGTTAAAATTTTTTTTTTTAATTTTGCGAAAGAACGCTTTTGATACGCGAAAATAATTTTCAAAAAACAACGAAAACGAGAAAAGTTAATATTAAGGAATCTAATTTTCTTCCAGGTTACTGCTTAAAATATAAATTCGTTCCAGGCACATTTCGTCGTGTGCACAACTCCTCGCAATCACAGCTAGTTGTAGCGGTAATTCGTCGCGAGCTCAGTTTTTTGATGTTGTGACGAAATACACCTAATTACGGAGAAAAAACTCTTGCATTGTCTAAGAAAGAGAGAGGTAGGGAGAGAACTAATAATTATATATAAAATTGTGGCTATTCAGATATTACAAAATCATCTTAGGGGTCAAAAATACGAATCCATCGAAAAAAAAGGTATATTCATTCAGAGAAAGTATATTTTCGTGTCTGATTTCGTAACTTCAAATATTTAAATCAGGAACAATTCAACCAATTTCGCTTAAATTTTGTATTTTGCCATGTAAAATTACATTCTTTAAATGATGTAAAGATTTTTATACCTTACAATTCTTTATACCACAATTACAATTTCGACCATTTTCAAATAAAATAATTTAAAAATTATAAGTATTTATTGAAAGTTGGATTTTGCAAGGAATTTTCTAATTAATTTTATAATTGTGTGCAAAATTGTTTCAATTTACTTAAAAAGTTCTAGAGATTAAGGTGAAATAAGCAAAGAATAAAATTAACATCGAAGTGTCCAAACTGTGGAGTGCACTCCTGACGAAACTATGGGGAATGTATTTTCCAGATTGCTGATACACCTTATATTTTGGGAGACAAAAATTTGAATCCATCAAAAAAAAAAAAAAGTTTGTTTATTCAGAGAAAGAATGTATTTTTGTGCCTGATTTCGTCTGCGCTAATTAATTAGCATATTTGAGGTCATCCCTTTAAACCTTTATGATTGAGATCTAGAACGTGAGGATTTGATCATTAGATCAAAAGTTATTCAGGGTGGTCCGTTTCTTATTTTGCGCGCTGTACTTATGATTTTTTTTCGTCATACATCTACCAGTATTTTATAGACTTAACATAAAACGTAACTCCGTCAAAACCGTTATTGATTAATTAACATTATTTATTAATTTTTTTATTACAATTATTCTTTTATCAGTTTCCCATGTTTTGTATTTAAAAAATGCTAGGGATTTAAAAGCACGTCATTATTAAAGTAAATTAAAAAGTTATCAAAATATAAAGTTAAAGTTATGGAATAAAAGTTATTAAATTAAAGTTAGTAAATAAAAGTTATTAATGTTAGTAATATATGAACAAACTATCAGCTATTTAAATTAGTAACTTAGGGCAACTTTTTTTCAGTTAACAATAAATGGATTTCAATTTTATTCAAAATATCTTTGATGCATATTTTAACTTTTAATTTAATACGAGAATTCTTAAAGAGAATTTTTAAATTTTTTTTGCCGAAGGAATGCAATTAAAAATTAACTCATAATAAAAAGGATTAGCGCGAAATCAAGAACTAAACACTTTGAATAACTTTTTATTAAGTACTCGGACTTAAGTTTATTGGATTTGATAATCGAATCTTAAATTTGCTAATTAATATTAAGCATGTGATAAATTATGGAATCAGACACAAAAAAGTATTTTCTCTGAATCAACAAACATTAAATTTTGTTAGATTCGAAATTCTGTTGTTGTTGTTCATTTACGTCGCACTAGAGCTGCACAATGGGCTATTGGCGACGGCCTGGGAAGCATCCCTGAGAATGATCCGAAGACATGCCATCACAATTTTGATCCTCTGCAGAGGCGATGGCACCCCCGCTTCGGTAGCCAGACGACCTGCACGCGAAGTCGAGCACTTTACGGTAAAACAGTTTAACGAGGACCAATACCGCACACCCTCGATCCCTACGCAGGCTGATCCAAGTGGTCACCCACCAGCACACTGACTGCTGCCAGTGATGCTTGACTTCGGTGATCTGCTGGGAACCGCGTCTTAACGACCAGTCCACTGCGGGAATCGGAATTCTGACCCTCAAAATATGGATGCAAATAGCAATCCTGAAAATATTGTAGTAATAGTTTAGCCTAAAAATTGAACCCCTTAAAGTTAATTTCCCTTTTTTGCGCAGTTCACTTTAATCTCGAAAATTTTTTAAACTAATCAAAATATCTTTATAAGCAAACATAAAATTTATTATTCCCCTTAGATAAACCCATTTAAATTCCATTATATTTTATTTTATTTATTAATAATCGAAACTTTTTTGTATTTTAATGAATACGAATTTTTGAACCATTTTAAAGTACGCAATTTAAAATTACAAAATTTGAAGGAAATCGGTCGAATAGTTTCCGAGTTAACAAATTTTAAAAAGTCGTATGTTTAAAACTTAATTTCTTGAGAACTATTCCACCAATTGCGTTAAAATTTTGTATTCTGCCATTTAAAATTACGCACTTTAAAATGGATCACCTTAAAACACAAATTATCTTTGACTATTATTAGATAAAATAATAAATAATAATAATCATTATTTCACATGGAATTATATTCGTTTAAATGAATTTTGTAATTGTGTGTGAATTTTTTTTTACTCGCTAATAAAGTTCTCGAAATATAGCGAAATACGCAAAAAGTGAAATTAACACGTAGGGGTACAAACTTTCAGACGCTTTTCAACTTAAAGTATTCAGATTGCAGTTTTCCTCCTCCCCCCCTCATATTTCCAGGTTCAAAATTCTTAATCGGTCAGGGAAAAATATATGCTTATTACGAGAAATTACTTTTTTGTGTCTAATTTTATAACTTAAAATATAATAAAACTTAATTTATTAGCATTTTAAGGTTAAGTCCACGAACTATTAAGATTAAGTACGTGAAATTCCGATCATTAAGTTAGATCAGAAGTTATTTCAGTTGTTTACTTTTTATTTTGCTCGTAGTATATGACCTCTCTAGATCATGAGATATCCATTTCTTTAAAATAAAATTAAACTCAGATTACATTATAAAATATGTTAACCTTAACTTTGAAACCTTAATTTTGAAAGCACCTTACCATATTTTTACCATATTATACCTTACCAAATTAAAGTGAAAGTACCTTTCACCTTAATTTTGAAAGTAATAAGTTGTTTGCATCGGCAAGTATTAGTAATTTGAAATTAAAATACTCAATTGATAATCAATTAATTAAAGTGACTTGCACTATGATAATTAAGAATCCCATAATATTATAAAAACATTTTTAATAATCTATAAATAGGAAGGGGAACACTCTTATTAAAAATAAATTGCAACGCCTGCAAGGAATCTCCGAATTCTTATTTAAAGCCATTATTGAAAAATATGAATGTTTTTAAAATCATACTCGGTAAGGAAATTAAAAAAAAAGAAGCACACACACACCAAGTCAAGTCACACTCAGAATTGTACTAAGTTCTAAATGTTCAATGCTCAAATGTTCGCGGATGATGTTGGCTTAAGAAAATATCAAAGAGACTCATTTCATTAGCCCTCCAACTTTTCTGTAACAAGAACCACCACCAAGAACACTGTTAACAATTTCTCTGAAAATGGTTAAATAACAAATTACTTAATTATTATTTTACCACATTCAAACAAAACAGTCAAATAACCATAAATAAGATGGTATTAAAACTGTTAATTATGAGAAAAACCATTTATTAACAGCTTTCACCCAATACGGTTAAGCAACCATAATTTTATCACACCAACTAGCCTCATCTAATGAAGTCACATAATTCCTACAAGCTGGGTACTTATTATGACCGAGAGGGCTAATCTGTCAATCTCATGATCGACAGAACAGGGGTTCGAATCCCAACGTTGTCGCTATAGCCTCCATTTATTCCTCAACACAGGAAAGGTTACAAGTGTTCTGCACTCCCCAAATTGTGACTTTAGACTATTAGAATACGATACACTTATTTACACATCGATGACAGCACCATATCCGGTTAAATTTCTTTTTTACAGTTTTGAAACCCTGCTAGTCGTAAATGGTTAAAAAAACGTATAGTTTGGAATTCACGGTTTTTTAATCATACTAGTTGTAAAACGGATTCAAAATCGTTTAGATAAAAATGTTCTTTACTGTAAATTTCACAGTTTGTTGGAAGGACAGACTGGCGCCGGATTGAAAATTCTAACAGCAAAGGGCCATTTTAAAAGTTTCAGGTATAGGGGAGCAATGAGTGGTCCCCTAAGATGCCTCAGAGATGAAAATGATACTTTGATACGTCAGTGTCTTAAATCAAGTTATTACAATTGTTTACACAAAGCTTGATTTAGTTTTGTATTTGAGAACTCAGCTGTCCAACGCCATTTCTTATATATATTGACAAGGTTGGTGGTCCCTTAGGAAAAAGTATTGGTCATTTCGTGATGAAAAAAAAACAACACTAAACTTTCTTTCGTTTTCTTTGCCGTGGAATAGAAGCAAAAATAAACCAATGGCAATTTAGCTTAGACCAGCAGTTCCCAATTTTTTTGTATCTGTTTACGGATTCCTAAACGGCCGAGCTTCTTTTTTTTCTCTTTTTTTTATGGAATCTTGACTGTTTGAATCGGACTTCGTTTCTTTTTGAGGAAAGAAAAGCAGGATTAGCAGCTGTGAATGTGCTAGAAAAAAAGAAAAATAAATAATATGGAAATAATTATAGTGAAGTATGAAATTTATTAATAGCTTTATCAATATAGTTTTAAAATTAAGTTTTACATTATGCAGTTGAATTCATAGGTTTGAAGCGGCTTTCTGTCCAGTAGTTTTTGGCGCACGTGTAAGCCAAATAGAATAAAATAGGCAGAATTATAGTTCTTGAAAAATATTTCTTTTTAACTGTAAGAATAGTTATCGGGGGGAAAATAATTCTTTATTCTTGCATTTGGTTATTTTATTGTGAATTTCAACTTTCGATGAGAAATACGTTTGAATGAATGAGATGAGAAATAATTATGGAACTTTTTGTTTTAAATTTTGTCATTTCTTTTTTCATAGAATAATTTCATAAAAGTAAACGAAATGTTAAACAAATTGCTTTGGGTTATATGGTCTATTAAAGGTTGCAAAAATAATTATTGGTTAAAATATTAATAAAAAAAAAGCCAAACTTACCAAACTCTCGGGTTTGAAGGAACATCTTTCAGGGATCGCTGGTTTAGACCATGAACTTGTGTAAGAGCTTATAAAAAATAAAAGTGTGTCAAGAAGTTTTCTTCCTAGGAATAATTTCTTTCTATAAAAATGTCTCACAACAAATTGTGTACGATGAGTTTGCGCAATACCGTATTTTAGATAGGTTACGAATCTTTTATCAGATCTGTAATATCGTGTGCTTAGCATAATCTACGATATCGTGAGAATAGGAGATTGCTCTGCCAGGTGAACATGCAAACTTCGTCAGATAGAAAAGTAATTGTCAAAACCTGAAGGAAATAATATGATGAGTTAATTGAAGCGATGAAAAACAGAAAAAATAATAATTGTGCAAAAATGAATTCCTTAAGTGAGAAACTTTCCGATTGACAGGATATAGATATAAATTTCGGCTTATGAGTTATAGCAACTAGATTTAACTTTAATCTTCAATTATGAACTAGTATGATTTTCTTTTACTTCTGGTTTTTGCAACATTGGTGACAAGAGTATCAGAGAGTACTTTGTAATTTGTAACGACTTTGTACTATTTTTTTAATTGCAACCTATTGTAGGTTTCGATTTTATAACTTTAAAGGTAAGTTGCTCTTCTTTTTATCAAAACCGTTGTCATTTTTTCGTCACGAATTCTAATTTTATCACCAGAATCACTAATCACTGCGAACAGACGGTTGTTAAAAAAATATCATACATTAAAGTTTGCGTATTCGAAATATTTTTAGATTTAAAAAAAAGTTTTTGTTGGAGAAAAAAAAGTAAACATAAACCATTGGATGTCTGGTTCTACTTTGTCGGCTTTATCTTTTGTAATATCGACTGGATGCTTCTTCAGATGTTTTTGCCCTTTTAATTATAGAATTACTATTATTATTGGTTACCTTACATTTGTTATTCAAAACCTTTGAAGTTATTTAGACGTTGTAAAAATTTTAAATATCTAAATTAAGAAACGTTTTGGCAATTATTAATTTACCAAATGAACGACATTCTTCAATAACTTTTTTCAAACTGCTAATTTAGTTACTAAATTTAACGCAATTTAAATCAAGAATACAAATCTGAAAAGATGGAAAACCCAGCTAAATTCACAAATCAAGAGGTTACTACAATGGTAAGGGTAATGCAATGCTTTTCTTAGTCTTGTTATTCCTAATTTATTCCTTATTTATTTTTAATTTCTAATCTAGATGGCATACAACTTGTATTTTCATGACAAGCAAAAAGTTAAATTAAAATACTTTAAATCATTTTCATTGAATTAAAATATCTGTAATATAATTAATAATAGAAAAATTAAAAATAGTTTTTTCAAAAGTATTCTCTCGTTTCTATTAACAATAATGGTTGAAATAAAACAAAAGTTCACGATGTACAATAAAATGCACAATGCATCAGAAGCTTAAAACAATCTATTAAATACTTATGATCACTTAAAGGAAGAATTAAAACGAGCATGTCTTTAATTATAGAAAAAAAATTAAATAAAAAGAAATTCTAAGATTAAGAATGAAATGAATAACACATCAAAAACATAAGGTATACTATTCGTTACTAATGATCACTAATGAGAAATTGAAATAGACATGATTTCAATTCTACTAAGTATAATATTTAAAATCGTTTGATGCAGAATAAAATAAATAATACATCATAACTATGAGACCCTCTATATTTTACTTATGATCAGTATTTGAAAAAATAAAATTTGCAGAATTTTAATTTCATGAGAAGTAAACTGTAAATGCATAATGAAAATAAATGAATGATGAATAATGAAATAAATCTGAATCATGAGACTGATCTGTAATGAAAGAATTAAAACGAGCATGATTTCAAATCTATAAAAAGTAATTTTTTAAATAAAAAGAAATGTGTAGAATGAAATGGATAAGGCGTCAAAAGCATGAAACACACTATTTATTACTTATGTATTGAGAAATCTAAAACAAGAATTATTTCAACTCTAAGAAAATTAATTTGTAAAATTAAAAAAAAAGTGCATGGTGAAGAATGAAATGAGTTTGAGAAAATCAGGAGCATGAGACATTATCTCTCATGATCTGTTATGGATTGATTACTTATGGAAGAAATAAAATAATCATTGTTTCAACTCCATAAAAAACTGTTTTTGAAATAAAAAATATGTCAGATAAAGAATGAAATGCAAAAGGTACTAAAAGAGCTGTTCTCAAATGGTAAGTCGATTTTTAAAATTTTTGCTATAATTTAAAACTGTCCAATAGAATTTAATTTAAATTGAATTTGCAGTCAATTATTTTTAAAAAACATTACTTCCTTTATACATTTTTAAAAAAAATATTTTTTCCAAAACTCTCTATTTCAAAACTGTTCAATAGAATTTAAGTTGAATTTTCAGTCTGATTCTATAGCAAAAATTTTTTGCGCCCTTAAATTTAAAACAAAAATTTTTTTAATAAGATATTACTTTTTTCATAAATTTTTTAAAAATATTTTTTTCACAAACCTCTCTTTACTAACTTTGAATTCGAGAGCTATATTTGTTGTGGTCTAAATTAGTTTGAACTTAGTAATTTGATTTAAAAATTCTTTATTGACAAGATACTAAATTTTCTGTGACTTAATAATACCCTAAAAAATAAATAATTTGAAAATTAATTAAATTCATAAGTGAGAAAATTAATAAAACTTAATTATTTTTACTTTATCTTCGTAATCAGTGAAAATTTACTATTTGATATACATAGGCACAGGCATCATCAAGGCCTTGTGAACACCAATCAGATTGTTGTATTAAGGAGGAATGTTGTGCTGAACGTATATTTCATGATGAAGCTTACTGCCATAAAAGGCGACAACTTGCTAAGCCTATTTCATTTTGTGCGTGTATAATGCTAACTCCTATTTACGTAGCTTTACCATATCGCTAACTTATTCACATGCTGATTTACCGTAAAAACCTTCCATAATATAATTAGAATAATAATTAGAATCCTTATAAAAGCAAAGAAAAATACGCACATTGAAAAATGCAAATAAATATTTAAACGAGAGAAACAAAATCTGATAATCACAGTTGTGGAAGGTACATGTGCAAAACACCAAAATCTGTTTAAATGCGAGAAGAATAAGAGAGGAATTTAAAAAAAAAAAGAATGCTTGAGCACCTCTAAGTTTCAATATGCAATCGTACAAGTATTGATGTTCTGTACCAATAATATACTAACTTTGAAATTTGAACCTAAATGATGATTTATAAAATGAACTTAATCTCTCGGCTCGAACAAAAGGTTAACATTAACATATGCTGGTGCACTACTTAAAATTAGAACAAACAGTAATAAGCGAGTAAAAAAGAAGCCAAGTCAGGGATGCCAGAAATCGAGAGCCTACTAAATCTAGCAACCATGTCACCTTTTTCAACAATACATCAATGAATAACTATAAAAAATTGCTACTTCTGACTCTTCAGAATTACTTAATTTCATTAATATCTTATTAAATACAGCAGGTTTGAGCTCAGAAATTATGTTATTTATTCCTTTTATTAAAAACATAATTATCTGTTTGAAAACATCGCCAAGCAGAATAAGCTGCATACTTTCTACCCTTGAAATAGAGCAGGTCAAGAGCTAGAGATTGTTGTTGTTTACATTTATATCGAAAACACCATCCATATAATATGAACAATGAATCACAATTTTTACTTGCAGTTCTAGGGTATCGTACATAAAAAGGAAAACAACACTCTTTTCCTTCCTCTCTTCTTTAATGGGCAAATAGATCAAAATAGATCTAATACATCAATAAGATATTAAGTAAACATCGAATTTATTACGTAAACAAAATTCTTTTCTGTGGGGAAAAACGTGTGCCCTCTACCGAAAAATATGCGAAACCGCGATTGATCCGAATTCATAAGATCAACAGTTCGCTCACCTTCCCATGACTTATCGGCTACTACTAAGGAATGATTCCTAAGAGTGTCAGTGAAATCAATTACTTCATACGAATAATATTACTTCAAAAATTAAAATAAGCAAAAAGTATACCTAAGCCTCATAATTTTACATAATTCAATTTTATAAAAAAAGTTTTTTGGCAACAATTTTTTATCAGAAAATTTTAAGTTTCAATAAAAATCATTATTTAGAAACTAAAAAGCGTAAGATATGCTTACGAACAGTCACCGTGTGGCAGATAATGCTTACGAAACAAAAAAAAAAAAAACCATTCTAAAAATTCCACGCATTATAATATAAAACTTTCATGTTTCTTGTTTTATTCATAATCGGACGTAGACAACCATTCTATAGAAAATTATCATCAAATAAGAAAAAAAAATTATTTACAAGTAAAATTTTTTATTTTTTGAATTATAACACTGACTTGCTTTATAAATCCGGAGAATTCCAAAGTGATATGTTCTTCATTGGAAAACTTTATTCTCAAATAATATATACACAGATTATCCCTTCATTACTTTAAGGTGACATACCACACATTAAAATTTTATAATTGCGAAATCTCGATATGAATTTCAATATGTAACTTAAAAACAGAATAGCTGAATTCCTGATACTTACGTACTAACGCCACAGCAGCAGAAGTTGCTCTAATGCACCAATAAAGAGCAATCCTGTTGTTCGCACACAGTTATCTTTTGGATTTCTTGTTGTCTTGATTTTTGACGCCATTTTTTAGTGTTACGAAAATGCGTCTTTGGTATTTGCCAAACGCAGAACAAGATGTAATTTTATTTTTTTAGGAGCGAAATATTTTACCAAAAAAACGAACATTTACTGATTTCCATTACATGAAACTTTATCTTGGTAAACGTACGTTTTGGAAATGTTATTTCATTTGGAATCTTATTCATTAGAGTTCATATGGCGACAGCATCAGGTGAAAGAAAATAGAGATTATTTTGAATCTATGTTAAATTCTATATCGGCCCATTTTCCACCGAAATCCGATTGACTCCTTTGATTTTAAAAAAGTGTCTTGAATTTTGAAAGTGTTTTGATTTTAAATGAAGTGTTTTATTTTACGATTTGTCGCAAAATTTCAGGCGTAGATTGGTGGCATTTAAAAACCGCCAAACCAGTAGCTGCGGTAGCGTTAATACGTAAGTACCGAATTTTTATTCCATACTTTTCTGAATCATATAACTTCAAACATTAGAATATGCAAGAAGTATACATAAACACATAATGTTATACCATCTAATTTTTCAAAATAAGTATTTTGACAACAATTTTTATCAAAAAATTATGAACTAAAAAACGTAAAATAAAGAATTCTGAGGATAAAAAACGAATTTAAAAATTCCTCATATTGAAATAAAAAACTTCCATATTGTTTCCTTTTTTTATTCTTATAGTTCTTAATGAGACATAAAAGACCATTCTGTAGAGAACCACATCAAATAAGAAAAAATTTTTATTTGCCAGCAAATTTTTTATTATTAAAGTCATAACACTCACCTGCTTAATAAATCCGGAGAATTCCAAATAAAATGTATCCATATTCGCACATTTAGTAACTATTAAAACTGTATCAATTACCATAATGCCAGGAGGGACTAATACTAAAATTAATTTAGCATCTTTAGCATCAATAATAAATGTGGTAATTTTTTTGGTCTTTTTCAGCTGGAGACAAGGAATTTTAAGCTAAATGCTTTTGTTAAATTTAATTTTAAGTGCATAAAAAATAAATTTAATTAAAAATAAAATAAAACGTTGGGGCATGTCTTCAATTACTGGTGACTTTTAGCTTGCGTTCGCCTAACCAGAATATTTTTTTCATTACTCCTAAACGAATAAGTGCCTATTCTCTGCTTTAAGTTGTTGGAGTATATAGCGAATTTTTTTTTTTTGAATTTCAGTTAGTACTTATTACCAAAATTAAGCATCACTGGCATTAAAAATAGTTTAACAATTTTTTACGCTTGTCTTAACCGAATTAGTCCCCCTTCTCTATTAATTTTGTTTTAACATAGCTTATTTTTAGTTTCGATTAGTAGTTTTTACCAAAACTATTCAAGCATCAAGAGCATCGTTAATAATATTACGAATTTTTACGTTTTTCAAGTACGATTTAGTAAATTTTCTATATTAATTTTGCTTTAGAGCATATATTTCCATTATTTTATTTGGTACTTATTACTAAAATTAAATAATCATCATTGGCATCTATAATAGTTTGATATTTTAAATGATTTAGTACGATTTATTAATAATTTTTTTTCAGTATACAGCTAATTTTAGTCCTTTTCCATTTCTCCACGTAGTCGATAACGTTGTTAATGCGATTCTCTTATGTGACACATTCTATATTCTTACACAAGGATTCTTTCACTAAGGTTTCAATTCCTTCACTATATATTTCTTACTTAACACAAAGACAGACATGAAGCCATGTAGGACATAAACAAAGTAATTATGCATCGAAGTTGCCAGGTATACAAAACAAAAATATATTAAGGTTGCATTAAAATGCAAATAATAAATCTGTGTTAAATAAAAGAGGTAGACGAGAAAGTATTACACTTCATTAAATTCGATGTGTGATATGGCATGAATGAGATGAGAAATAATTATGGATGTTTTTGTCTTAAAATTTTTTGTCCTTTCTTTTTTCATAGAATAATTTCATAAAATTAAATGAACCGTTAAACAAATTGGTTTGGACTATTAAAGGTTTCAAAAATAATTAATGGTTCTAATATTAAAAAAAGCCTAACTCACTGAACCCTCGGATTATGCGGAATATCTTTTGAGAACCGCTAGTTTAAGTCATGATTTTCAGTAAGAGCTTATAAAGAATGAAAATGTGTCAAGAAATTTTTTCCTATGAATAATTTCTTTCTATAAAATTGTCCCACAACAAATTGTATGTGTTGACTTTACGCTTTACCTTATCTTAGATAGGTTACAAATATTTTATTAATTTTATAATATCGTGAGACTAGGAGATTGTTCTGCCAGGTGAACATACAAACTTCGCCAGATAGAAAAGTATTTGTCTGAACCTGAAGGAAATAATATGATGAGTTAATTGAATCGATACAAAACAGAAAAAAAATTATTATGCGAAATTGAATTCTTAAAGTAAGCAGCTTTCTGATTGAGATCTGATACATATAAATTTCGGCTTATGAGTTAAAGGAACTAGATTTAACTTACATCTTCAATTATGAACAAGTGTGCTTTTCTTTTGTTTCTGGGTGTTGCAGCAATGGTGACTAGAGTATCGGTGAGTATTTTGTAATTTGTAACGATTTTGGACGATTTTTTTTACGTTCACTTGTAGAACTCAACGATATTATATTATATTATATTATATTAGAATGCAACCTATGGTAGGTTTCGATTTTAGGACTTTAAAGGTCAGTTGCTCTTCTTTTCATCAAAACTGTTGTCATTTTTTCAACGAATTCTAATTTCATCTTCAGAATCACTGCAAACAGACAGTTGTTAAAAAATTTATCATATATTAAAGTTTGCGTATCCGAAATATTTTTAATTTCGAGAAATATAGTCTTTGTAGGAGAAGAAAAAAAACTAAACATAAGCCATCCGATGTCTGTTTCTACTTTGTTAACTTTATCTTTTATAATATCGATTAGATGCTTCTTCAGATGTTTTTTCCCTTTTAATTATAGAATTACTATTATTATCGATTACCTTACATTTGCAAATACTTGTTACTCAAAAATTTTGAAATTATTTAGACGTTGTAAAAATTTGAAATATCTAAATTAAGAAATGTTTTGGCAATCATCAATTTACCGAGACAATGACTTCCTTCAGTAACTTTCCTACAAATATTTTAAAACTGCTAATTTAGTTACTAAATTTAATGCAATTTGAATCAAGAATACAAATCTACTAAGATGGAAAATTCAGCTAAATCCAAAAATCAAGAGGTTTTTACAATGGTAAGGGTAATGCAATGCCTTTCTTAGTCTTGTTATTCCTAATTTTCTCCTAATTTATTAGTAATTTATTCCTTGTTTCTAATCTAGATGGCATACAACTTGTATTTTCATGACAAAATTAAATTGAAATACTTTAAATCATTGTTTCTCAACGGAGGCGATGCAGCCCTCTTCAAGGCGTTGGGAGTATACTGAGGGGCGGTGAACTTGTTTTGGGCGGTAGGGGGGCGATGAGCATGTTTTGCCATTCAAATTTAATTTTAAAACTTCCAAATAAAATTATTAAATTACATTTTTTTAATAAATAAAATTAATCTAAAATTAATATTAAAGAAAAAAGATTAAATTAATATAATAAATTAAGATTATCCGATACACCTTTTGTATCACCAATAAAACGAACTTATGCGACACCTGTTCTCCGTTCCGAACCAACACAGCGCAGCGCATGAGTTAGTAGTTTTCGCCTCTGATTTATTCAAGCTATTTGGCGAAGGGCTATGACTCATTCAAGCCATTTGGCGGAAATCGAAGTGCATGAGTTTTCGATATGAATGTTTCATTTGACCCGTGTTTCTTATGATGATTTTCGTTACCTTCCTTACAGTTTTTTCCCCGGTTTCGATTCGATCTCATTGTTTATTTGGCCAGTTATGTGCGTGAATTAGTTCTTTACCATAAATTATTTATTAATTTGGAGAAATAGTTGATTTTATTTCATCTTTTGTGTTTTGCTGCCATCAACAATGTCGGTTAAAAAAAGAAGTGTCATCAATACCGTGCCACGTACTTGAAGTTTACTTTGTGGCAAAGTTTTATCTAATGAGACAATGAAATCTTTCCGTTAGCAGGAGCATTTGCAAAAAACTCATCCTGAGAAACAAAATAAAAATTTGTAATTTTTCACGAATATCAAAGACAAGTTTCTGAAGGAACCTTCGGTCTCAGGGTTGCTAGCAATCTCATCACAAAAATGCGACGATTGTTTGATAGCTTCTTATAATATATCAAAATTTATTGCTAATTCTGAGAAAGCTCATATCAGAGGCTCAAAGTTGATACTGCCGGTTGTCAAGGAAGTTTTAGAAACTATTTTACACCATCCAAACACATCCAATGTAATCAAAAATATAACATTAAGAAACGATACAGGGCTGGGACGAAATGGTGAAATGGCTGAAAACGTTGAAGTTTATTTATGCAAACTTTTGATATCCAACGAATTTTCCCTTCAAGTCGATGAATCAAACTTGCCATGCAATGTAGGCTTTACAGTAGGCGTATGTCCGGTTTGTGAAGGTAGGAAAAAGTATTCAAGAGATGCTTTTGTAAGAAGATTGATTGAAGATCCCAAAGGTCAATCTATTTTTAATACTGTCCAAGATTATTTAATGTCGATTGCCACTGATGGATTGCTCCTGCAACGGTGGGTCGATATCGTGGGTTTATCGCCATTTTGGAAAGGGAAATACCAAATATTTTAGCTGTTCACTGCGTGATTCATAGACAGTATTTAGTAGGAAAAAATCTTAGTGATCGCTTGCATCAGTTATTGCAATATGTCATATTTGCTGTCAACAAATTTTACAGTAATGCTCTCAACAATTGATTATTCGGACAACCATGTATGATGAAATATTCTATCGCTTGCTACTGCACACTGAGATTCTCTGACATTCCAAAGGCGCCTATCTCAATAGGTTTTGGAATCTTTTCGACTCTACGTTTGAGTTCCTCTAAATCAGATGAAGCTCTCAGAGACAGATTGCTAGAATTTAAGAAAGACTTTGGCGGATTTATTTGTAAAATTTAATGGCATTAATTTACAAGTTCAAGGCGACGAGCTCAATTTGATCCCTACAAAATCAGTCATTTATGCCTTCCTGAAAAAACTCATTGTGTGGAAGCATAATTTTGGTTGAAATGAGTTCAGCCAAACAGGTGAAATTCGCTCTATTCGTTTTGATGATGCACAAGAATATTGTCAACACCTTGACTTTTTGAACTTGAACTTTTCTGACGATTTTAAAGATGTTTTGTTCCCTGGAAGTACCTCAATGGGTTATTGGGTCATGAACCCTTTTGTGAATATTGAAACAGCAGTCGTTCTGATTTTTGAGGAATTGGTCAAACTTTCAACTAATGAAACTAATGAAGTGGTGATCGTCTCACAGAATTTTGACTTCAAGGTATCATCAGTCGCCTCAACACTGGACTGCTGACTATCGTTAACAAAAATTTTATATGCCTTCCCTTCCTTTTACCTTGTGGAACGTGGATTCAGTGTTGTTACCGATCTTGTCACAAGAAAAGAGAAATGAATTCGAAATTAAACAACAAGGGACTTGCGTCTTCACCTCACTAAAAGTATTGATTCGAACGTTAAGAAACTAATGTTTCGTTGATACTACTTTTTAGTGTAAAAAATTATTTTGGGTGTTCTTTTAATTGGTTAATTCATTCTTTTTAAGTATAGGTTTCATTGTATTTTTTTTTCATTACCTTATTTATTTTAATTATAACAAATATACTGCGATTACCTGCCGTGAGAAAAGTATCGAGTTAATGTACACATTATTTTTTTAAAAACCAAACAAATTTAACTCTTAATAAATAGCTTAATGTTGTCTCGTATAATTCAGCACTCCTCGCTCCCTCACCATGCTCTAAATAACTGGATTTTCACAAAGGGAGGAATTGAAATGTTTTTTGCTTCTTAAGGGGGCGGCAACGCTCAAAAGGTTGAGAATCTATGCTTTAAATCATTTACATTGCATACAAATAACCGTAATATAATTAATAATAGAAAATTTAAAATAATTTTTTAAAAAGTATTCTCACGTTTCTATTGACAATACTGATTGAAATAAAAAAATGCATGTTGTAGAATAAAACGCACAATGCATCAGAATCTTAAAACATTCTATTACATACTTATGTAATAGAATGTTTTAAGCTTCGTAAGTAAAGGAATAATTAAAACGAGCATGTCTTTGACTCTATGAAAAAATAATTTGTAAAATAAAAAGAAATTCTAAGATTAAGAATGAAATGAATAACACCTCAAAAACATAAGGCATACTATTCATTACCAATCATCACTAATGAGAAATTAAGATAGGAGCGATTTCAATTCTACAAAGTATAATACTTTTTTTTGAAAAAAATGCTTGATGTAGAATGAAATGAATAAGACATCATTAGCTGGAGATACTTTATTTTTTACTTATGACCAATATTGGAAAAAATTAAATTTGCAGAATTTTAATTTCATGAAAGAAACTGCAAATGCACAATTAAAATCTATGCATGATGAAGAATGAAATAAATGAGAAGCATGAGGATGATATGAATCGAAAGAATTGAAATGAGCATGATTTCAAATCTATAAAACGATAAAATGAAATATGTAGAATGAAGTAGATAAGGCGTCAAAAGCATGAAACGCACTATTTATTACTTATGTATTGAAAAAACTGAAACACGAATTATTTCAACTCTCAGAAAATTAATTTTTGAAATAGAAAAAAAAAATGCACGAATGAAAAGAATTTGAGAAAATCATGAGCATGAGACATTATCTCTTATGATCTGTTATGAATTGGTTATTTATACAAGAAATAAGATAATCATTATTCCAACTCCATAAAAAACAGTTTTTACAATAAAAACTATATCAGATAAAGAATGAAAAGCACAACGTATTACAAGAGCTGTTCTCAAATGGTAAGCGATTTTTGAAATTTTTGCTATAATTTGAAACAGTCCAATAGAATTTAATTTAAATTGAATTTACAGTCAGATTTGATGGCCAAAATTATTTATACCATTAAATTTTTTTTTGCAAAAATTATTTTTAAAAAATATTACTTGTCTTATATATTTTTTAATAATATTTTTTCCAAAACTCTCGAATTCAAAACTGTTCCAAATTTTGTTACGCATTTAAATTTAAAAAAAAATATTTTCTTTTAAAAAAATATTACTTCTTTCATACATTTTTTAAAAATATTTTTTTTACAAAACTCTCTACATTAACTTTGAATTCGAGAACTATATTTGTTGTCTAAATTTGTTGTCTATTCTAAATTAGTTTGAACTTTGTAATTTGATTAAAGAAGTTTTTACTGACAAGACACTAAATTTTCTGTGACTTAACATGACCCTAAAAAATATATAATTCAAAAATAATTTAAAAACTAATTAAATGCATAAATGAATAGAAATTAATAATTCCTTTTACTTTACCTTCGTTATTAGAGAAAATTTAATATTTGATATACATAGGTACAGACATCATTAAGGCCTTGTCAACAACAATCAGATTGCAATATTAAGGAGGAATGTTGCGTTAATCGTAAAAATGAACTTTACTGCCAGAAAAGGCGACAACTTGGTAAGCTCATTTCATTTTGTCTTAATTGCAGACTACAATTTTTTTTGTGCGTATGTAATGCTAACTCCTATTATGTTAGCCTTACCGTATCGGTAACTTATTCATATACTGATTTACTGTAAGAACCGTCCTTAATATATATAGCTAGAAACCTTATAAAAACAAGGACAAATACGCACATTGAGAAATGCAAATAAATATTTAAACGAGCGAAACAAAATCTGATAATCACAGTTGTGAAAGGTGCATGAGCGAAACACCAAAATCTGTTTAAATGCGAGAAGAATAAGAAAGGAGTTAAAAAAAAGAATGCTTAAACACCTCCAAGTTTCATTATGCAATCGTACAAGTATTGATGTTCCTTCTTTCCTCTCTTCTTTAATGGGCAAATAGATCAAAATAGATCTAATACATCAATAAGGCATCAAATATAAACCGAATTTGTTACTTAAACAAAATTCTTTTCTAAGGGGAAAAACGTCTGCCCTCTACCAAAAAATATGTGAAACCGCAACCGATCCGAATTCATAAGATCAACAGTTCGCTCCCCTTCCCATGGCTTATCGGCTACTACTAAGGAATGATTCCTAAGAGTGTCAGTGAAAACGAGACACAGAAACTCACATACACACAGATAATTCATGCAGAACTGGATATCAAAGTACACAGAGTAAATATAACCTTCAACTATTTAGAGTTTGACAAACTATCTCTTTGAAAATAGTATGCATATGCACTGGTGTATGAAATTAAGAGAATTTGCAGACTTGGTCAATTATCTCTTGAACTACTCGACCGATTTTAATGAAATTTTATGTGTACATACATTGATACAACACAAATCAAATAACAATTCAACAATTACAATACACACATCTGGTGGTGCGTAACACCCGTTGGAGTCAAGTATGAAACAGCGGTTGCAGAATGGACAAAATAAAAAGAGCAAAAATGGGTCACGAGGGTGTATGGTCCCCTCTTACAGATATGCAGGCCTTGCAGAGGGGTTTCATACTTGAAATAAGGCAGTTTATTATTTCCCGTGGCAATTTCATATCTTTCGACTCAAACGAGTGTTGCGTACGATCATGAGAGTGTACGTACTACAATTGTGGAATGGTTATTTGTTTTGTATTGTATCAATGCATGTACATTTCAAATTTCATCAAAATCGGTCGAGTAGTTCTAGAGATAATAGACCAAGTCTGTAAATTCTCTCCATTTCTTACTTTAGGTGTATTATACTTAGTTTACAGAATTTATATACACGTTTTTTTTATTCTAAAGGTTTTACATTTTTACCGTTTGGGCTCAATAATTCCCATTAAACACCACAGGTATATTATAGCTGATTGATTAGAGAATAGATAAGGCCACTTCAATGAAATTATCATTAAGTACTCAAAACAGAAGTCCTCTCCCTTTCAGGAAATGGAAATCCTTAAATGTGTTAAGAGAAGGAAGTTAGCTCTCAAGGAATATTTGTCACAAATATTATTATTGCACTTCCGAAAGAACGGAAGTGTAATAATTAGACAGCGGATTATATGCACTAAAAAACGGACAAAATATGCATGCAAATATGACTAAAAAACTTGAATATATGCTCTTAAAACTAGAAATATGCATTTAAAATAGAAGTTAAAAGTTCAACTTATTTAAATACTACTACTTAATTTTTCCAACAAACACAGCTAAAACATTTTTTTGTTAAAAGGAAGAAAATCAAAATATTTCTTACTTGAATCTACACATTTCTGAAGAAAAAGCCTAAAACTGAAGTATGATAAATGAGAGAAGAAAAATCATCGCATTTTCCGGAAAGATTTTATTAAACTGAATAATTTTTGTTGCAATACACAACTAAGTGTTTTTCCAAATTTTCAAGGGTGAATTGATGTCGTCGGTCATCAAAGATCATTTTGAAAGCAGAAAATGACCTCTCCACGTCAACCGATGTTATTGGACAAAACTTGTACAATTTCGTACTCATTGGTTTTACTTTCTCTGGAAGTTCAGTTCCGTTTCCATTAAGAAAATCATTTATCTTCTTCACTGCTGCAAAACCCGAATTTTTGTTTTGAACGAAACACCATTTTTCTTTTACTTTCTTCCCAACTGAGTCTGGAAGAGCATTGATGCACTGTTGAATTTTTTCAATTTCGGATATGGCCTCAGCCAGGGGAAGACCTCGTGTTTCGAGCTTTGTTATTGCTCCACTTAAGAAAGAAAAGTGAGTGTCAATTATGGCCAAGTCCTTCTGCAAAGAGATATCCTGTAGTAATTCTTTTGTGACATAAACTGAAGAAGCACAGGAACTGTCAATTGCATCTACAACTGACTTTATTGCATCAAAATTATTAGCGTAAAAACGTGCAGCTTCAATCCATGTACCCCACCTAGTTATCACAGGCTGTGGAGGTAAGGGCAAATCAGGATACATTTCTTTATACAATTTTATGCGCACAGGTGCCTTGAGAAAAACTTTCTTGATACTAGAAATTAAATCATTCACAGAGGAGAATACTTCTCGAACAGTCTCAGCCAGTCTGTGAACAGCATGAGCCAAACATGTAATATGAAGCATTCTGGGATAAAAAATTTCCAGTGCTGCTGCAGATTTGACCATATACGGAGCGGCATCACTGACAAAAATCAAAACATCTTCAGAACCATCTCTATCAGGCCATAATAATCTGATAGAATCATTGACAAACCTTGCTATGGTTGAATGATTGACTTTTTCAAGGGCTTTGCTTGCTAGAAGATGTGGTCGAGTAGGAATATTATCCATTTTTCCACAAATAAAATGAGAAATATAGCGACCGCACTTATCTGTCGTCTCATCGACTTCAATCCATATAGGGCCATCTCCAATATCTCGTCGAATATCATCCAGTTCTTCATTATATATCGGTTGAAAGTAGTTCTTTCTTAAAGTCGATTTATCGGGAATGATCTAATTGGTACAATATTTTTTTAAAAAACTGTCTTAAGTTTGGATTATTTAACTTTTTAAAAGGAATATTGCTGCTTACTAAGGCTTTGCATAAATCACTAGAAAAATCACTTTCCTTTTTAGCTGCTTGAACAGGAATAGTTAATAAACTTGGAACAAATCCTTTTGTATTCTGCTTTTTCTTCGCGGAGTGAGCATTAGTTTTTATATGTTGATCGATTTGGTACTTTTTTTTTCACAGGAAATGTGTTTTTGACAAATCACACAAAATACTATTTCCCCATCGGTCGTAAAGTCCTTCCCATAGTCCGAAATCCATGTCTTCATTAAGTTTGGTTTAGTCGACTTAATTTTTGGCATATTATAAAATTCAGCAGTCAAAAATCACGTTCGAAGCTTCATTAACTACGTATTCAACTGATGGATGTCGAAACTGTCTATCTATCGGATGGACTATCGAAATATGTTAGAATAGCAGCTCTCTCCGAAAATGTATTCACTCCACCTTTTAACTAATCAATTACAGGAAAGGGAGGTCATTTTCTACCTAACACAGAAGCCTTATTTTCCCCACACAAATTGACATTTATTCCAGGAAAAGACATCCTTTCATAGAATATCTGACCATCCCTTTCTGAGGTTTCTATGACGAATGTCTGTTTGGGTGTGCCCTTTGTACCCCCCTTCTCGACACACACCTCATTTCTACATCTTTTTCACGTGATTGCAATCACCCCCATCAACATCAATCCAGCTGATCCTTTCAGGTGATAAAGAATGACAAAACAAAATTTAAAGCGTTCCTTATGCTAACATAAAAAGAATAGTGATATGGTTTTAGGAGGGAAAAGCCATAAAATGCTGAAAATATGCAGTTATAAGAGCAAATATACCTTTTTTTGCATTTATATGCACAAATGGCAAAAAGTGCTAAAATATGCAATTGCATATGCACGTATGCAATTGCATATTATCCGCTGTCTAGTAATAATAGAACGGACGTGCTAGTCCCAGCGTTGACACCGTAATATTTTTTTCATTCCTTTCAACGCAAGAAAAGTTTATAGTATCCCACTCTCCCCAGTTTGTGACCATGGACTATTCGAATACAATACTCTTATTAACGCATAGATGGCAGAACCATAAAGATATTCACCACATAAGAGTATAGTATTTCCCACCTCAGGTGAAACAACCAGATTAACTGATTGAGCCACATTCCACGTTTCATTTCTGTTGATGTAATGAAATTCAGAGATTAGTGGATCGGAGAAAGACATGTTTATTAGAACACAGAGAGTTACACAGTTGCAACATGCACTGGGATAGGAGAAATAGGAAAGAACATCGGATAAAGAAAGTTACTGGTATTTATAGCCTTCTTGGACTCAAAAGTTAACGGCCAAGCATAACATTCTGATAACATGCGGACGTAGAAGAAAACTGATCCAAATAAATGCGATTACAGTTTTTTCTCAACACCCGCCCTTAATCGCACAATACATAAATGCAATTAATATATAACATTATAAAGAGGCAAAATTTCTGACAGTCTTACTCTAAGCAAAGATTTTGTTAACGTATCAGCAATCTGAAAATTAGTTGGTATATAATTAACTTTAATATCATTCTCAGTGATAGCATTTCGAATGTATTTCAATTTGATATTAATATGTTTTAGCCTGCCATGAGAATTTTCATTGGTTACACATTTAATACAAGATTGATTATCTTCGAAAATGATAATATTATCAACCTTAATAATTTCATTTATAAAGTTTGTTAGTGGTAACAAATCTTGAACACCTTTGCATAAAGCAAGTAC